TGCTCGGAAAAAACAGTAGACGTTTTTCAGGATGTTGACAACTTCATCTAACACTCCGTCATTTCTTAGGAACTCGTATAGGGTCCCGCGATCTGGAGAACGAGAGCTGAGTCAAAGTTTATGAACCCAATGAACAATGATTTGAGGTATCAGTTGTACGTTTCCAGCAAAAGACGTCATGTTAGAATGTGGCCGATGGTCGTCGACCCGGACGGAACCCACAGTGTTCTTCGCTGGCAATATTTTCTCTGAAGGGTCAAATTCTGCTGAAGATAGTTATTTCAGTAACCTTCAACGCCCTGCAGAGGAGACTTATTCCTCTGTAGTTTCGGACATCCGATATAGCACCTTTTTTGTGTATCTGAAGAATCACAGCTTGACGTCATTCTTCCGGTATTGTCTCTGTTCGCCAAATCTCATGAATGATGTTCGGCAACACTTGAAATCCTGTGTTATGCATATTTGCTCAATGTGACTTTCATCTGGGCCAGCTGTTTTACCATTATTTTGCCCCTTTTTGAGAACATTCATAATTTTTTCCGGGTTGGTACATCAGTGCTGCGGTCATAATCAGACGTCATGCTTCGTTGAAAGCGAGGCATTGAAGTAGATGGCGGGGATCGGTTCATATGTTGTTGGGAATGTTCCCGAAATTATCTCGGCACATTTGAGTCCTATGAACATGCGTGATCTATTTTTTGGATTAGCGAAAGACAACCTCGTGTAATTTTTTCCGCTGTATTGCCGGATTAAAGCAAACGTTCATCTAGGGTTGTTGCATTTGAAGGCTTTATCCATAACAGTAGGTCGTTTTAACCAATGCGTTCCTTCCTTTATTTAGATGGCATTTCAGTTTGGTTTCCTTCTCTCTCGTCAATGCCTTCTTTCCTGCAAGTCTGGCTCTTTTACGTTGCTTCGTCAACTTCCACTTCTTCCTCCCACAGATTGACAGATACGTTCTCTCTGGAGTACTGAAACACTAGCGGTAGCCAGTAGGCAGCAGCTGAAATCACCGTACGTCATTGGCAAATTCCATTCCAGTGTCTGGTTGAACGCCATTGTGGATTTTTTTCAGACGTATGGATTTTCCTGTAAATATGCCATATTAAGCCTTGACATCCTCTCAAAACTTTCAGCAATAGCATACGATATCATCGCTAAGACCACTGGGACAAGGTCGAACAGAGAAGCACATCTCCAAATGCTTTTAGACCGTTTAACGACGTGCTTCCAACGGTCACTTATGAGTATCTAATCTAACTGTAGTCGCAATTTCTTTCAGCTACGCTCTTTTTGCTTCTGAATAGGCAAACTCTGCAGACCTTGTCGTGTGGGTCTTTGCGATTGTCCATTTCGCTTCAGGGTCATCGCAATTGCCACGCTGAATTTTACGACGAGGTCATTTCGTAGTTATTTTTGAGGAGAATCGACCCATTGAGTGTGATCGTTTTTTGCCAGCAGGAACCATATCTCCAGGGCGACATTCGTCTCATTACTGCTGAATTGTGCGTTGACATCCATTCCAAGGTTTAAGAGGTGGTTCGACGGTATGGCACCAAGTAATTGTTTAAGCCTATTCGTAGAAAGCGATCTTTCTTTGTTCATCCGTATTGTCCGTAGGTGCGTGGGCGGTTATAATCCTTGTTGTTCGGAACGATTTCGAGATCTTTCTCCAGCACATTCTTGGGCTCATTGGCTCCCCATCTTTTATAACTCAGTCACAGTCTGAGCACCTACGACTCCGCAATTACACGTACTTTCTTCGGCTTTAGATCTGAACAATACATAAGATGCTTGGCCGTTTGGATGGCACATTTTTGTGCTTTATCTTTCCTTCATCGCGTTTTTTAAAGGCATGTGATCGTTGCGTTTAGACTGTTCAAGGTTCTGGCAACAGCAGATTATCTTCACCTTGTAAGGACTGACAATTCAAGGTGACAGTATTTAGCTTCTTTGATAGTCGAAGCAAGCGTTACGGTAGCTCTTGAAAGAACCTTTGGGTTTGGATAGATATACGGCTCGCAGTGACAATATTTCAGCGTCTGGAAATGCAGTGAGTAGCTAGTATCCGGTTATCTACCCTAGGCGTTTGCTGATATCTGATCTTTGGCGTCATAATTATATATCTATATGACAATATGATATCTATATCACAATATGAACAAGTCAAACACGAAACCCACCCAACCATACAGCATCCTGGAAAGGAAAAATGGCTAAAACCGCCTGAAACGACTAAAAGTAACCTGACTTCACCTGACCATTATGAGCACTTCGAGCATCGAAGAGTGCATCAGTATACCTGGTACCAGAAAGCTAGTGCACAGAAATCGATGATCGATTTGATAATCGCAGTACGTGTTTTCGTTAAGAGAGTCGCACAGCTTTCAACCGACCATCACTTTATTGTTGGCACGCTGTTCTGTAAGAATTGGAGTACCATGCGAAAATATGGTGGCAGAAGTAGCCAGAGAATCAAATGGAAAACACTATCTGCGGTGGACACGAGAGCGAAATTTGCAAACAACATCGCACGACGGTTTGAACAGATCCCAGCGATGACAACTGATGTTGAAACCGAGTGTAAGCTGTTTAAGAGAGGCCTACTCGAGGCTGCCGCCGAATACTGCAGATTTAAACGGGTTAGCCTGTCGTTTGGAGGTCGGGAAAGAACTTCTTGGTGGACACGAGAGGTACAACTGGTGGTTAAAGAGAAAAAGCCTGCATTAAAAAAATGGCTTGGAGACAAAGAGTCTTCTACTTGATATATCGAAGCACGGAAGGCGTAAACGTAAGTAGTGGTGAAGGCCAAAGCCGATTTCTGGGAAAGGTTCGGTGAGGTGTTGGAGTCGAATTTCCATACGGCAAACAAAGTATTCTGGCAAACCATTCGCCGGTTCCGAGTTGAAAGGGACGGTAGTCTCGGAATCTTGAAGAACAGATCTGGTCACCCTCCTACCGAGAATAACATATTCTTCGGCGATAGAAAGAGTACTCTGAAAAACTTCTTAACCCGGAGCAACCGCAGAAAGTTCGCCTGTAGAACAAGGAAAGGATATTACCATTTATTTAGATGAAATCATACAAGCCTTGAAAAGTGGAAAGGCTGGTGGAATAGATGAAATCCGCCCCAAAATGCTCAAAGCATTAGGCGAACAGGGCATGTGTTCTCTTCCATATG